ATACATTGGGGAAACAAAACAGCCACTGTTCAAAACAATGAGCCAGCACAGACGAGCTACGTCGTCGAGTCAGGACTCTGCAGTTTACACTCATCTACAGGCCAGCGGTCACTCTTTCAGGGATGAAGATGTTCTCATCCTTGATAGAGAGGAACYTTGGTTTGAGAGAGGAGTAAAGGAAGCCATCTTTGTGAAGAAAAACTGTCCACCATTAAACAGAGGTGGAGGCCTTCGTGTCCAGTTGTCCTCCTCCTACAATGCCGTAATTGCAAGTATGACTCAACGATACCAACACAAAGAGGGAGAGAGGGACAAAAACAAGGGGATGTTGAACCCCCGCTTGCATTCACTACATTTACATAACACGACACGGGTCAGGTGATGGGGCACATGACCCTCTATGAACAATAGAGCCAATCAAGCCTATTGTTAGTCGATGGCCCTATTTTGCATTTGACTAACCTGTTTGTCCATGTGGAGGCAAGACTTATAAGGCTGAGTTTCACCTGAAACTCATCAGACTGAAGAAGTCTCTTGGAGGAGAGATGAAACGTTTCACTAAAGAAGAACCCATCCAGAGGACCTACTTATTTTATCTTTTTGAGTCATTTGCAATTATTTTAACTGTCTGCTCCTCCTCTTTCCTGTTTTATGTTTCTCTCACAATTCCGCATCAAGTACAACACTTCTTCTTTTCTTCACTTTACTACAGATTTTAACAGCTTATGATGCCAAAATGTCTTTTATGCAAATATCTAGGGGAGTGTTTACATCTTTTTATGATTAAAGAAAGTTGCAAAGTGGATTTGGATTAAATGTTATCCAGGAGCACAACATGTTTCATGAATTAGATTTGTTTTTTAAATAGCAAGCTTTGCTGTTTTGTGAATTTGTTGATCCAGCACCCTACAAATGAAACTACATAACATATTTAACATTTATATGAGGTTAAAAGCCATTTTTAAAGACAGGTTATGAAACAAAATGCTTCCATGTGTGCAAAAAATGCATAAAAAGAACTCCAACTGGCTTTGTTTTTGCTGAATTCTAACCACCTTTGGTTTATTTCAGTCAACATTCATCATATTTCGTATTCAGAATGTAATTTTTTTTTAACTTTTCTGTCTTGCAGTTTTTGCTCTAATGACTATAGCAGCCTTCCACTGAAGCTTTCAGGTGAACTTCAAATGTTGTTCCGCATCGTGTGTGTGCTGTGTGCTTTCTCTTTATACGTGTGTGAAAGACAGAAATAACTACAGCTACCAAATTACTTTTAGTCACAGTGTCTGCTGCTTTCTTAAAGTAAGAATTGCTCATGAAACTGATTAGTCGTCACCTTCCTGTCTAAACATCAAATTTATATATCCTTTATAAGACTTAATAGGAAGCCATCTGTGAGTAAGCATCATTAGAGCTTACAATTACTTAAATTAGCCGTGATGCTAAATAAACATCAGAGAAATAAATACTGTATGGCATGTAGAGAAGAGAGGACTTGACAAAATAGCTGAATAATTTATCGAATGCTCTTGTTCCAAATTGTCTTAATGAAGGATTATTATGATCCCATAATGTTTGTGTGTGATTATATTATGCTCACGTTTCACAAATTTCATCAAAGGAAGAATGAATGGTGTTCTGTCAGCTTACCTGCTGAAGGCTGAACAGCTGCAAACAAAATATTCTTCCATTAGTATGGAAGTCACACTTCTGGATGCACAGCTAATTAGTCTCCAGCTCAGTATGGGCGCAGTTCCAATTATAAGTCGATGTGCCCTTTTCATCGCACAGCAGTCGTTCTCGTGGCTGTTGTGTGAGTGTTGCACKATCTGAGTGGCAGTGACAGGACCAGCCAGCGGTGGACCATCAGCCGAAGTGTGATGGATGCTTCTCAGGGCTGGCCAGAACAGGAGCTGTTCAGATCTGCCTCTGAGAATCAGAGATCTGCACTACATCAAAAATTTGTTCCCAAACAAGGTTTGCAGAGAACAATATTCCCACCGACAACCAAACAAAAGCTGACAGTAACTCAGAAGTTTCTCAACCTACAGGCTACTGTTTCGAATTTTTTTTTATATAATTTGCAGAATAATCTTAAAACTTTGTCACACAACAACAGAAATATGTGCCAAGAAGAGAAGGTAACCAAACCCAACATAGCAAAATTTGCCACCCAGTTCTGACCCACACAATGCACTTTACCACTCTGCTCAGATACAGCAAAGAATGGCAGCCCTTTGGTGGCCCAGATGTGGTTTGTCAGATGTACTCCATGCATGGGTCAGCACCACATAAAACACAAACAAAACCAGTTCCCGTTGTGCCATGCTATCTTAACAACAGTGCCAGTATTGCCAGACCTGGCCCACATCCAGTTTACAAACCAGTTGCCAGCAGCTGCACCAGCCTGACACCAGATCTGGCCCACACCTGTGGGATCCTTCCGGAAATGCCACAAGCCATTACCCTGAAGGGAAATTCATTAGGGAAATTTATTCTGTTTGCACATATTTTTATTTGTACTTAACATAGAAATATTTTGTTGAGATATCTAGATTATTTTTGCGTAACTGTATATTCTTTTGTACCGTGATTAAGCTCTGATTAAATAGTAGTGTGCACTCTGGGTTATCTCAGTACAGGCTGTACTTTTTAAGGGACAAATTATTTAATTTACACCTTCCACCAAAACAGTTATTTCTCATCAGGTTGTAGAACTGTAGTTGAAAGCATCTGGCGACTGGGTATGAAGCACCTCTCAATCGCTGTGACGTCTTTCCAAAGGGGTGTGGCCAACCTGGAAGAGAATGAATAAATATGTGATGTTTGCTTTGATTCTTTACCAAAAACTCAGAGGGTTTCCATCAGATCTGTTTTTACTCCAGCTGAAAGTGGTGTATGGCTTTAATCATCTGCATTAAACGTTCAAGTCTAAATCTGAAATTGTCTCTCTGTGCTTCACCTGTCAGTAAAAACAAGTTATCCTACAAAGTCACAAATTTTTATTTCACATTTGTATTAAGCTGAAAAACAGCGCACCTGTCCCACACCAGGCCCAACGCGCACATTGACACACACACTGTCCCATTTTTGACTCAGTTACCTTATGAGAAGTTAAAAAAAACCTACAAACGTTACTTAGTGGCTGCAATTTGCAACATTATGCCTCCTTATTGCTGTCTCTGCCTCCTTTGCAGGAGGACGAGAGGAGAGAAAGGCACGAAGACAGAGATGCAGTCAGTCACAATGCACCACATCTATCTATCTATCTATCTATCTATCTATCTATCTATCTATCTATCTATCTATCTATCTATCTATCTATCTATCTATCTATCTATCT